CCCTGAAGTCAGGAGGACCTGAGTTCAAATCCGACCTCAGACCAAACACTTACTAGCTGTGTAACCCTGGGCAAGTCACTTAACCCCAATTGCCTAAAAAAAAAAATAAATATAAAAAGAATTAAAAAAAAAAAAGAAAAGAAAAGGAAGTGGGCCAGCCCAGTAGTGAGACTGAGGGATGACAGAGGGACATCTGAGCATGGAGCTGGTACCCACAGAATGAGAAGAGAAATCAAGGAAGGCCAGCAGACTGTCGGGCACATGCTGCCTCGAACAGGAAGAGACAGGGACAAGGGCCACACAGACTAAGAAGGTGCTGATGGGCTGGGATCCTAGAGGGAATACCCACGTCACTGAGATCACAGAGCCATCAAAGGATGCCGCATCTGGTCCCCTCACTCCTCTGCTCCAATGGTGAAGCCTCACTGAGGTCAGGGCCTGCTATGAGGATCTGGACGCAGGAAGAAGGTGACCCAGAGAGGGAATGAGGTGAGACTGAGAGTCGATGGGATTTTATTGCCTGTTGGGGAGGGGAGGAGAATACATCAAGCTGCTCCAAACTCAAGGCATGGGGATGTCCTCCAGTTTCTGATCCAGACTCTTGAGGTCATTCAGGAACCGGGTGGGAGTGAGGATGTGGGAAGAACCTGACAGGGACAGAAAGATCAGGTGAAGCTTCCTATGCCTTCCAGACTCGGGCAGCAGATGTCCAGCCCACCTCTCTCAAGGATCCGGCTTCTAGCCCCACCCCTCCCCGAGATCATGTTGCCCAGGCTCTAGCCCCCACATCCTTTCGGGGATCCAGGCATCCTGCCCCCATCTCTAACTCTCCCAGGGCCTCAGGCACCTAAGCCGGCCCCAACTCACCTATGAGCACCTCCCACTTTCCTTCAGTGGCCCGGGTCACCTCATAGGCTGCCCGCATCTCAGACATAGCCACGCCACCCAGCATGTAGACCAGGAGTCGGGGCCCAGCCCGGGAAGACTCCACCGAAGGTTTGTTCTTGTGCCAGTGACCAAAGCGGGCGCTGTGAACAGAAAGGGACTACTGAGCCCCCTTTCCCCACCCCCTCTCCCCCGACAGTTCACAAAGACCCTGCGCCTTGGCTGATGGCAAATGACAGCTCCCCCCCAGACCTCACCTGACAGCGGCCTGGGAGCTGGAGGCGGGGGCAGGGTCAGACACAAAGGGCCATAGTTTCCGGTCCAGCTTGTCCTCTACGGCGTCCTGGGGAGGGAGCACACACAGGCTCAGAGTGTCCTTTATCACCCCACCTCCTCCAGGGAGGCTCCTCTTGTTCTCCCCTCCCAGGGATCATGGATCAGATACCAGGATAATGCCCATAATGAGGGATTTGCCATTAAGCCTAGCTGTGGCTTAGGGGGCCAGGGGAGGTGGATGGGAGAGAGGTGGGTGCATGGGAGGAGGGGGGGCGGGGGTTGGCAAAGGTCAGGGCAGGGAAATGGGGAAGCAAGAGGCCAGGGCTCAGGGAGGCTGAGGGAGGCTGGGAGGTGACTAATCATCACAGGATCAGCGCCCTCCCTCTCACCTCCATCACGTCCTTGATGACGGGTGTCCAGCGGGACAGTTGGTAGGTCGGCTCCAACCTCTCCTTTCGATCTCCTCGGGTAGGGGCCCCGGAGCCCTGGGGCAGGGGACGGAGGGGAAGGGGTCATGGACAGGGCCGGAAGGGGAGGGGAAGGGAGGGGAGCACCTCCCCGGGCAGCAAAGCAGGCCAGGCTAGAAAGAAGAATAAGACCGACAGAAAGACAGACAGAGAAAGACAAGAGGCTGAGCCCAGAGACAGTACAGAAGAGAGAGAAAAATGGGGGAGGCCAAGCTCTCAAGAAGACGGGGCGGAGCCAAAAACTCTGAAGATCCCCACCACCGTGTCTCCATTGCTCCTGCTCCCAGGCTGGCTGCTAGGGTGAGAGCTGACACACCCCCACTCACACGGGGGAGAGTCCAGGAGTCTACAATGACTGCTGCCATCCCCCCCAACCCCATACCGTGGCAACAGTGACTGTGGCCCCGAGCTGCTCCAGGTTTCGGATGAGGTTGCTATGCGCCTGTACATTGGCATGCTGGATGAGCTTGGCCAAATTCTCCTCGGTCACTCCTGCGGGTGGGCACAGCACCCACACATGTATACAAGGCCGTGTTTAGACACACGTGTCCCCAGGTACCCGAGAAGAGAGGGTCAGGGATTAAGGAGGGTCAGTGGGCAGTGACTGAGGCCCCACTCCCCCATCCATGCTCATACCATTCCGAAGTAAGATGTAGAGGAGGAGGATACGGATCTTGTCATACGGGGGGACTCCAGTGTCCAACAGCACGGGGACAATCAGCTTCATGGCATCCTTAATCTTCTCCCCTTCTGCATCTGTGCCCAAAGCCAGGTCCTGGGGAGCCGGGGCCAGAGGCAAGGGTTCAGCCACCACTGCGAGGCTGACCATGGCCGGGAACCTCAGCGTCCCCGGGCATTCCTCGAGCCCCTGCCCCTGCACTGAGCCTGGCACCCCTAGAGCCCTGAGCCTCTGCATCCAAGTCCTAAGGTTGAGGAGATTTTATTAAGGGGATTTGTTCTGCGAAGTTTGGATTCCGGATTGAGGACCTAGAGGGCCACACGTCGCCCCGAGGTTGCAGGTTCCCCATCCCTGTTAAGCTAAGCTCCGAGCCCCCAAGAGCTGAGGGCCCTCCACCTGCTCGACGCTGCAGAGCCTCTCCACGGTGCCCTTGAAGTGCCTCATGCAGTCATCGGCCAAGTTCAGGTGTGTCGAGTACTGCGAATCAAAGACCAAGTCTTGTGGTGGGCAGTGGAACTCCACAACATAACCCAGTCCCTTCTGCCCTTGTTAGGCTTCTTCCCGTCCACGAGCCGAAGTTCCAGCCCTGCCGCCTGCAGAGTCACCTTCCTCCAATGAAATGCTCCATCTCCCATGCTTGACATGCTCTCCCCCCCCACCCCTGGCTTCCTTCAAGACTCAGCTCAAACTCCACCTTTGGGAGGAAGGTGGGCCGAGTTTCCCTCTCAGATTACCTTCCCTCCCCTCGTATGGAGTTGTTTACAAGCTGTCTCCCCTAACAGACAGTGAGCTCCTTGAGAAAAAAGACTATATATTGCCTTTCATCATATCCCTAGCACTTAGCATACAGTAAGAGCTTAATAAATGCTTGATAACTGACTAGGTGGCAGAGAGGGAGCCACTAGGAGTCTGGCCCAGGCCACAGGGAGCAAGCTGGGAAGAAGGTGGGATACCTAGCCCCCTTACTCAACCACTACCTCTACCAGCTCAGGAGAGTCCCTTAAATACACCTGCCCAGTGGGCTCCGGGCTCCCCTCACCTTGTTCAGTTCCTTCTGATATTGGGGCATCTTTTTCAGGATGTGGGAGAGGTCTTTTATGTTGGCCTTGGAAGGAAGGAGAGGGAAGAGGACAGTGGGGCTCAGGCCCTCCAGCCTGCCCCTTCCCCCTAATATGCTGATCGTCACCCCAATACCCTAGGCCCAGTCACCCAACCTGGCCCCATCCCCATCTCAAAGCACCCTGACTTCTGAGGCTCAGCCCACCCAAACTGGTCCCATCCCCAACACTCAGCCTCTCCTAGGTCTGTGCTCCCTCCACCCAATCCTAGCTCCCCAAACCCAAAGACCCTCAAGGCCCGGCCCACTCAAACTCACCCCAACCACCATCACTCAAAGGATCTGCTCCATGACCTGGCCCCCAGTAAAGCTGACCCCTCACCAAGTTAGATCCCCCCAACACTGCCACCAACACTCAAGGGATTCACCTCACCATGGTGTCCCAAACTCAGATTTTCCTCCCCACAAGTCTGTTCTCTTTGCTCTTCCACTCAACCTGGCCCAGGCCCCAGACAAATAGAAGTCCTGCTCACCTTATCTGTGGTCAGCCTCTTGCTCTCACAGAAGGTCTTCAGCAGCTCTGTGACTCTCCTGAAGGTGTCAAGGAGGCCAGTGAGGACATGAAAGAGGAACGAGCACCACAGGGGCCGAGCTGCTTGGCTTGGCGGATGGGGATTGGGAATGGTGGGTGCAAAGGTAATATGTTTGTAGATTTAAAGCTGGAAGGGACTTTTAGAGTCATCTAGTCTAACCCCCTCATTTTACAAATGGGGAAACTGAGGCCTGTAGCGTTTGCCCAAGGGCACATGTGTAATAAACTGCAGAGCCAGAGTACGAATGCAGGGACTTGACCTCAAATTAAGTGTTCTTTTCACTATCTCATGCTACCTTCCAAAGAGAAGGTAGATCAGCCTAGATTTGACCCCAGGACCTCTCATACCCTAAGGGGACCTACCTGGACACATCTGCAATGTGCATGTGCCTCAGTTCCACCCACAATTCATCATCCTCATCCAGCAGCACAGACTTCTCCCGGGTCTCACTCAGACCTGTCGTCTCGTACCTGGAAGAGCAGGACATGATGCTCCTGAACACATAATGTTCTGGGAGACAGGCCTGGTCCTCCCCCTGCATCCCTCCCCCAGAGGCTGCCACCGCCACTCCCACATTCACACCTGTAGGTGTCCTGCTGGATGTCCAGGAGGTCATAGGCCATGGCCTGAAAAGTGAGCTCATGCAGCAAAGGGGACACAGGGTCTGAGCCCCGGTCCACAATCAGTAGCTGAGACCGCATCTTCTCAGGGCCCTGGGGACAAGACAGGGGGAGAAAAGGGGTGAGCCCAAGAAAAGCCCCACCCCTCCCACCCCAGTCCCCCTGCTCGGGTTGGCTCTCACCTCCCCCAGGCTGGGATTGTCTGCTTTGAAGGCATTGAGCTTGGCAAGGACAGCGTGGGCAAGCTGGGCAGTGTCCTCAGACCCCCTATGAAAAGGTCAGGGTTATTAGAATAATGTCGGGTCATAAGAAATGACCACATGGATAGTTTCTGAGGAAACTGGGAAGAAATCTATGAACTGATAGAGAGTGAAAGGTGCAGAACCAGGAGAAAAATTTCTACAACGACAGCAACATTACAAAGAAATATAAGTTTGAAAGACTTGAGCACTCTGGCCAATGCAATGCCCAACCATGAGTTCTGAGGACTAAAGATAAAACACACCACTCACCGCCAGGGAGGAAATGGATGTAAGGCGCAGAATGAGACACATTTTTGGACGTGGCCAATGCGGGAACTTGTTTTGCTGGACTATGTGTGTTTAGTATGAGGGTTTTCTTTTTTTTATTGTTCAATTGGGGTGGAAGATAATAAATAAATGCTTGTAGAAATAAATACATTGAAAAAAAAAAGAAAATGTAGGAGACACAAGTAGGGGAGATGGAAAAGAGGGAAAAGGGATCCAGGCTGAGAAAGTGGACGCCCCAAACCTGTTTCATCACTACGGAGCTAGTCAAAGAAAGGAGAAGGCCTGTTCCAAAGCCTGTGGTTTGCTCTACAAAGTATGTTTGGGGGGCAGCTAGGTGGTGCAGTGGATAGAGCACTGGCCCTGAAGTCTGGAGGACTTGAGTTCAAATCCGGCCTCAGACCAAACACTTGACACTTACTAGCTGTGTGACCCTGGGCAAGTCACTTAACCCCAATTGCCTAAAAACAAAAACAAAAAAAGTATGTTTGGTCTGATCGGGGAAGATGGGGGCAAGCTATCAGAGCCAGGACCAGAGATTGGGGGCAGAAGGGGAAGGACTCCAGTGTGGCACAACGGTATGGGACAGAAGATGATCACAGGAGAGTGGGGAGTGAGGCAGGAAATGAAGGAAAAGGTTGAAGGAGGAACTGGGGGTCAGAAGCCTGGGGGAGTCAAGAGGGAAGGGGAGGATTGTGGGACAAGAGGGATTGGGAAAGGCCTTACTGCCCACAGAGGTAGGGGGAAGAATGGTAGGGTCAAAGATCAGGAAAGGGAGGAAGAAGGATGAGAAGCCACACCTTCGGTAGCGAATAGCAGGGTACTCGTGCAGGGTGGCACAGAGCGTAGCGATCTGCTGGGCCAAAATCTCCAGCTGCTGAATCCTTGCATTGACCCGGAAGGGGCAGTATAAGTTATAAGTACTATGGGCTGCATCCAAGGAAAACACCTAGGGGTTCAAGGGGTAAAGGTGTGGAGCCTGAAGGACACCTCTGACTGCTAGGTAACCCTGGCCCTGATCTTCATTCCCCATGGCATCCTTCCAGTTTCCCCCTGCCCCTCCTTCTTGTGTAAGGCTTCTGGCCCTGTCCTTCCCCACTCCATCCTGCAGACCCCTCACCACCACCTTCCCAGGGCTTCTGGCCCTGTCCTTCTCCACTCCATCCTGCGGACCCCTCATCATCATCTTCCCAGGGCAGAGCCCCACCTGGGACTCGTAGGGAAGGAAAGCCAAGTGAATCTCCTTCAGCGTCTTCACGGCCTTGGCCAGCCTCGATCGGCCCAGTTCAAGGAAAAGGGGCTCGGGACAGGCTGGGTGGGGAGGAAACAGGACAAAGAGAGTCAGAGCAGGGATCCTGGTCCAGTCCCTAAACTCATTCCCCCAAAGCCCATGTCCCTGTCACTCACTGTCTGTGAAGAAGATGTGGGCAGCTTTGTAGGTAAAGGTAGGGGTTCCCCGGAAGTCATTGATCAGAGCCTGGACAGACTGGGAGAAATGGGAGAGTTACTCCCTCTGGCCCCAACCCCAGAGGCCCTAGAGAAAGCACTCAGCCCAAGGACTTTCCCGCTCAGTGGCCTTTACCTTCTCACACGGGCTCAATAGGTAAATGGCTTCCAAGCTGGGGATGGGTTCCCTGCGCTTGTTAATGTCCTCCACAACTGGGCATCCATCCACGGCACCACACCAAACGACGTAACAGGAGATGGAACAACAAAACATGGCAGACCATGGGGAAGCCACCAGGGAGGGGAGGTCAACTCCCCACTGCCTCCCCCCAGCCCCCAGCAGAAGCAAGAGAGGAGGTAGGAGCCAAGGCTCCAATCCACTGGTGATCTAGGGGACAGTCACTCCCTGGTGACCAGGGAGAGACCACCCAATGATCTGTGAGCCATGCTCTGGACTGCCCGGGATGTTGGGGGCCTCATACTCACTGGTGATGCCCTCAGCTAGAATGTCTGACATCTTACAGCAGGAAGACAGAATCCGCATGCTGGGGCGGTCCATGACGAGAACCTAAGGCACAGAGCTCCAACTAGGATAGTGCCTCTGGAGGGGCACATCATCCCCCTCCCCACCATAGTGACTGCTATCCCTATGCCTCAGGGTCCTCTGCCCTCTACACCCCCCAGAAGGGGCAGCAGGGGAAAGGTGGAGCGGAGAAGGGAAGGTAGCAAGGTGATGGGTCAGTGAAAGTTAGGGAAGCAGAGGGCAGATCACCCCTTTTCCCAGGTTGTTCCGTTCTGGGGATCACCCCCAAATGAATTTGCCCAAAGTACCAAGATGTCCAATTATGACTGCTGTGGCAACCATGAAGCCACTAACCTCCTACAGCCTAACCCCAATTCTAGGAACACCAGCCCCCCAACTACCGGGGCCGTTGGCCTTCTGCTCTCCTCTCAATAGGCACAGAGACCATACCATTCTCCCCTTTGGCTCCTTGTGAGCCCCCTCTGAAGGTTCTGTCCAAGACGTCACACCTAGGTGACCTAGAGAAAGAGCTGTGTGACCTTAAAGGGCCTCCAGCTACCCTGGCTCCCCGAGTCCTACCTTCCATTCTCCATTCTTCTTGACGCTTCGAATAACCCCACTCAGGATCTCTGAAAGGGGAGAGGAAGGAAAGGCTGGCTCAGGGGATGGCTCTTCTTCCCAGACACCTGGGCTAAGCAAGTATCTTGCCACCAGTGTCTCTGCCATCCGAAGCCTTTCCCCTGTACCTAGCCTCAGGCAAAGTGAGTTATGCTTCTGGCCAGAAGCCTGAGTCCACTCAGGGCTGAGCAAGAGCTAGGATTGAGACCTTCCACATTACAATCTCCCACCCTAGTTCCCCAGACCCACGTGGAAAAAAGTAACAAGGCTGGGAGTTAGAAGACCTACATTTTCATTTCAGCTGTGCCTCTGAATTCAAAGTGTGACTTTGAGCATGACCCTGCCCCTCCTTGGGCCTCAGTTTCCCTATCTGTGCAAAAACGGTCAAAGATTGGATTGGACCATATGGAAACCCCACAGAAGGTGGTCACTTCCCTCCAAGAACCTGGGAAGAGGAAGAGGCCGAATCAAGGGCCAGGCCAGGGTCAAAGAGGGCTCTAGGAGGGAGGCCTAGCCCCTTATCACCACCACCTTATCACTACTAAAGGAAACAGCTGAAACCAAAGCAACCAGGCCAAGGGTGGGAAAACACAGGACAGAACTGCCCCTTCCCCCTCCTGCTGACCAGGGGTGGGGCCCAATTTCTGCTTCCGGATACCACTCCCTCCAGTGAAGATCCCAAAGCACTTAGAACTAACAGGACATTAAATAAGAGACTAGGGGGTTCGGTGCAGGGCATCACCAAGGTATAGACCTCCAGTTCTGGCCTCTTCAGGGATTCAACTGTCTAAACTTCTAGTCCCCTGAAATTCTCCCCACTCAGGATCCAGGAACCCAGAAGTCCAGACTCCCCCAGTAAGTGTCCCTAATACCCACCCAAGTGTCTAGATTCCTCACCCTACCCAAAGGATCCAGGCATCTGACTCCCAGCCCCACGCTGGGCAGGGACCCTGGATGTGGTCTCTCATTCCCCTCATTCATTCAATAAGCATTTATTAAGTGCCTACTACATACAAGCCTCCCATCCCCCTCCCAGGGGACCCAGACCCCCACCCCGACCTAGGTGGCTTTTCCGAAGCCCCCTCCCCTAAGGACCCAAGCACCCAAACTCCAAGTCCCGCCCCCTCAGGGACCCAGGCATCTAAGCTCCTAGCCCCCTTCCCTCCTGGGGGATCCAGGGGTACAGGTGCCCACCCACCTCCTGTCCCAAGTTTCCAGCCACTCTCCTCCAGGGAGTCAGGTGTCCAGGTTCCCAGCCACCCTCCCTCCTTCCTTCCCAAGAACCCAGGTGTCCAGGCTCTCAGCCCTACTGCCCACCGCAATAAAGGCCAGTACTCACTCTCTCCCACCACCGCCTTCAGCCCTGAGGGCGCCATCTTCCCCCTGGGGCCACCGCTTCCGGGTCTGCCCAAGAAGGGGCGGGAGCCTCTGGTAGCGTCATCACAGGAGGCCACGCCCCTTTCCACCTGGCCTGGCCTCTTCCCTCACCTGGCCACGCCCCAACCACCTGACCCAGCTCCCTAGCTACCCACTGCGAGTCAATTTCTTCTCCGGGAGTCTGTTTCGGGAAGGTGGGAAAGTGAGAAGGAAGGTGGGAAGACGCGAAGGGGCTCCGTAGCGCCCGGAGCACTCGTGCCCTTTACAGCGAACACTCCTGATAATAGTTTTCGCAACGGTAATGTGGGGATAATAATAGCACCTACCTCCCGTTGTTGTGAGAGATTTGTAAAGCATTTTGCACACGTTAAAGCGCTATGTAAGCTTTAGCAATTACAAAAAGACACTCGAGTACCCAGAGGCTCACAAAGATACACAGACAGTCACAAATTCACCTAACAATATTCATTTATATAGGGCGTGAAAGTTTGCAACCGCTATTATCGCTACTGGCTCAGAAAAGACCAGTGACTTACCCATGGGTCACATAACACAGCTGGTGAGTATCAACCTTGGTTTGGTGTGTTCTGCCTTCCTCCGTCCCTCTCTTCTTTCCTCCCTTCTTTCCTTGCTGATTTCTTTAGTATAGGGAGATCTGCCACTTGGAAACCTTATGAGTGCTACTTAAAAGTTCGTTATTATTATAGTCAGAGAGTTGTAAAATGAGTGAAATAGTGAAATGAGAGGCTAAAGGATTTGCTCAGAATTACACAGCCCGTATTCGGCTGAGGCAGGACTAGGGTCTATATCTTCCTGACTGCCACCAGGTCTCTCTGCACTCTACCAGTACAATTACTGTGCCCCGATGCCCCCACACAAACACACGTACAAACCCCATATTGCCAGTACTCCAACACCCCCAAATCCTATTGGTTTAAAGACATTAAGTGACTTGCCCAGGATCATACAGCAGGTGTGTGTTCACAGGTGGAAGGCAAACCTAGCTCTTCTGGACTCCAGCTTCAATACTATAACCATTACACTGCCCTGACTCCTTTAAAAAATTTTTTTCAATTAACAAACTCATTTCTTCTTCCACCACCACCCCTTTCCCTTTGGGAAAAAGAAAACAAAACAAAACCCTTGTAACAAACATGCTGTCAAGCAAAATCAATTCCTGTATTTGCCATATCCAAAAAAAAAAAAAAAAAGTTTCATTCTGCCCTCTGAGTCAACCATCTCTCTGTTAGGAAGTAGATAGCGTGCTTCATCAATTCTACTCTTGAGCCCAGACTGGCTCAAGGACAGACACAGTGGCACAGTTCTACATTCACTAGTGAACACTTACCTAGGCAAAGGACACAGGGATGCATGTATTATTATACACACAGATAAGCCCTTTGCCACTCTCTGGGGCTGTTTTCTCCTCCATAAAATGAGGGGATTGAACTAGATAGCTCCCTCCTAGTTTTGACCTTCCTTAATCCCTCCTAGCTTATGATATACATAGAAACAGAGTCACACATTCTAACTGGGTAACAGTGGTATCCCCAGAACCTCCTCTATCCTGAGGAGGGATCAGTGTGGTCGGAACTCCAGACAACTACCATGGTATCACCAGAATGGGGGTAGATAGAGGGATTTGTCACCTGGGAGGAGGGAGAGAGAGAGAGAGAGTGAGAGTGTGTGTGTGTACTTGGGGGAAAGGGGTTTCTATGATTTTGTATCATGTTTCTCCATCCCCAGGAAACTATGTCAAAAAATGATGCAGATAATGAAGGGGTCATGACATACTCCTCTCCCCTAACATCTCTTCCAACACTCTAAGACAACATTCATGAACCTCTTCTGATATGGAGGGATCTGATCTGGGACCTCCCTCCCCAACCCCACTCCAGTTTTTGAATGGGGGAATTCAGGGAATGAGCTTTTGAAAATATCACTTTGAGGAACTGGAAAAGCTTGGGGGAGTGGTAGAGTTTGGGGAAATGAGGGGTGGGGATTTTGGGGAGAATAGGACCTCCACCTCCTGCTCCTCCCCTAGCCAGCTCTGGCCTCCGAATGGAGAGTGTTGCTGTGGTAACCACCCCAAAGCCTAGACCTGAAGGCTATGCAGAGCTGGTAATAAGGCCCTTGTGGGTATATAAGGAGGTAAGGACCCCTCCAGGGAGGAGAATAATCCCATTCCCTGAGGAAACATAACCAAGGAGACTGACTGAGCCAACCAATACCAGTCTGACCAGACAGGTCCATCCACATCTTTGGACAGGTGGACAGAAGAAAGAGGAGACATTGTTTGGGGTGGTAAGAGTGGGGAGCCCTGAAGCAAGGGAGGGTGCCCTGACTCCCAAAGGTCCTCACACAACAAAAAAGGCTCTTTGTGGGAAAGGCCTGATCCCTAGCTATCCAGAAAGGATGCATTCCCAGGTACCAGTTAGGAGGGCTGGGGCTGGGGAGGGCCTCTGGTGAAGTGAGGAGTACCATCTCTAGTACATCTTCCCTACAGGGAGGCTATGAGTACCGCCCACGAGGCCGTGGGCTCCGGGGTCTCTGCCTTCTCCGTGCTCTCTCCCACTTGGCCTCTCCCTATGCAGCCCTGCCCCCCAGTTGTCTGGGAGACCCTACCTTGAACCTTCAGTATGCCTGCTCCCAGACCCTGCTGACCCAGGTGAGAGCTGTTGGGGCAGGGGGAAGGGTATGGATCCTATGACTCTGGGGTGTGAGTGGCACAGGTGAGTTTCAGAGCAGGGCTGCAGGTCAACAATGTGGAAATCACGGGTTGTGGGAGGGAGGGCCAGAATCCTGGGAGTGAGATGAAGTTGGGGGAGAAGGAGGAGGTCTGGGCACCCCACCCCCACCCAGCACCCAGTGGAGTTCCACGGAAACAATTATCTGGATGATCTTTATGGGGCTTAGTCTGGGTGGGAGCAGATGGAGAGGGGGGGACTCCCAGATGGAGTCTAGGATTTGGGGCTTGCTGGGGGATCGTGGGTGTTCCCCCACCCTTTAAAAGTCCTACTCCAGATACCAAGAGCAACAGTGGGAGCTGGAATCAGACATCTGCAGTGGGTCTGGGGGCGAAGAACTCAGCAGAAGGGGGAACACAGTACAGAGCAAGGGGTCTAGTAAGAGATCACCTAGGGATCCAGTCTGATGGCTGAGCTGGAGGGAAAAGAGAAAGAAGCAGATTCCAGTCCTCCCAGTGAGGTAATCGGGGACCCCATCCTGGCCAGGAGGGTGTGGGGGATTCGTAGCCTAGGAGGTGAAGATACCAGCGCGGCTCCCCCACTTTCCCACCCCACCTGCTTGCTCCCTTGTGATCTCCGAGTCCTGCCAGGTCTCAGATCTCCCGATTGTACCAACACGACTCTAATTAGCAGGTATCTCATTAGCAAGGCCAGTGTCTCCGAAGGCTTAGAGCCAAAAAGGAGGCCAATGACCCAGTTTCCAGTTTGAGGGGGAGGGAGGAGGCTGAAAAGGGATACCTGGGTGTGAGGGCCTAGTTAAGGTGAAAGGGCCACAAAGTCATGGGGGGTAGGGGTGCAAAGGCAATCCAGGAGTTAGAGGAGAGGGTAGAGTTTGACTCTCCCAAGGGAATAACTTGTTCCCAAACCCCTCCTTCAGCCTCTGATCTAGGCCACTGAAGTTGGCACTAACATGCCTCTCCCTAGAGCCAGCTGCAGCCACATGGCTATAGCCAGAACTATCCTGATTTGGGGGTCCCTGGGGGCAGAGGTAGGAGTGGGGACAGTGCAGGATGGCAAGCCATTTATATCATTCACACCGGATTCTCATGCCAGAGAGCAGGCAGTGCAGCTTCAGAGCATGGTAAGATGGGCAGGATGGCACAGGGTCACCCACCACCATCACTAGGGTAAGGGAGGAAAAAAAGCATTTTCTTTCTCATTTATGGAGGTGGAGGCAAAGAGGTATCCTTGCCCTCTCTCACAGACCTGGGAGAAAACTAGAAACCTAGACCTGGGAAAGGAATGAAGAGCTAGATCCCAAAACCTGGAACACAGAGAAAGGGGCTGGGAGCGGGGCCAAGACCTGGGAAGCATGGTTGGTGTGATGGAGGTGGCCTGAGATACTCCTTATTTGGGGTGGGGGACAGCAGGGAAAGTAAGCAAAGGGCAGGGGTGGGAGAAGCACCAGAGATTCCTCTGGTCTGTTGGGGAGGGGGGCCCACAACAAGAGCTCTCAGCTCCATTTCCCCACTTGATCCCAGGTAATGTCAGAGATCAAGGTTTGGCAGGGGAGGTGGAATAAAAACCACCTGAAAGAATCAGGACGACGTAGGGTCAGATCCCGTCAGACACTACTGCCATCTTGGGTGTCACTTAACCTCTCTGAGATGAATCTTCATCCGTAAAATGAGGGGGGTTGGACCCAATGGCCTCCAAGATCCCTTCTGGTACTAGACCCAGGATCCCTAGCAGAGAAGGCCCTCAGGACTGGAGGGTGACAGTGCCAGGGCTAACCCCAGTCCTCCATGCCTCAGGCAGGGACCCCGGAGGAGGATGGATTCTTCAACCTGCTAACCCACGTCCAGGGCGCTCGGATGGAGGAGCAGCGCTGCCCCCTGCAGACTGAACCAGGCCAGGGGCCTCCCAGCAGTGAGTGTATCCAGAAGAGTGAATGTCTCTATCACACAAACTTGGATGAGTGCAAATGTATCTGTGTTCATTCCTATGTGTGTATTTGTGTAACTGTGTGCCCGGGGAGCCTTCGTCTAATTAGAATAAGGTTCTCGTGTGTCTCCCCAAAGCTCCAGGTTTGTTTCCTGCAGGAATGGGGTGTTCCAGGCACCTCAGTAGGCTCTTGGTCTCCTTCCCCAGCCCATCCCCAGGCATCCGCCTTCCCAGACCCCCTCCACAGCTGCATCTGTCGCAACTGGTCCCAGCAGCTTGCAGAGTGCTCAGGCCTGAACCCAAAGTCTCTGTCTTGCCCCCTTCCATCCTCTTCCCCCAGAGAGCAGCCCCAGCCCCAGCCCCAGCCCCAGCCCCGTTGCTCCTCCGGAGATGGACAACCTAATGGACATGGTGGCTAACACCCAGGCACGTCGCATGGACGACCAACGCGTCAGCATCAACTACCTGCCTGGCTTCCAGTCCGTGGCGCCTAAGGTACAGGTCTACCCCAGGAGCGAGACTGGGAGGGGAAAGCAGGTTCTAGAGTCGGCGGGGGAAACCGGGAAGCAGACTGCCTCGGCAGTTCAGCCCCGAACTCTGGGAAGAATGGGAAAGGGTTTTGGTTTGGTTTAGAGAGGGGGTGCTCCACTTCCTCTTCTCCGCGTCTTGTTAATCTCTGGTCTCCCTGCTCTTAATTAACCCTGGGCATCACAGTCCACACGAGGGGAGGGGAGGCTCTCTGGAAACAGAAACCAGACATCCTGGACCTCGTATCCCAGAGACCCCAAGGACCAAAACATTTCCTGAGATCCCATTCATTGGCTTCTACTTCAGCCCCCACAGCCTTTATCCCTCCCTCCCATGAAGCCACAGAGCCTGGGGGCTTCTCTTGGGTACAGAAGACACAGAGGGGTAAGGAAGAGGTAGGCTTCACTGCCTTCCTCAATCATGCAGAGAGAATAGGAAAGTCCTGTCTTTAGGGAAGGAGGTTCCTGCCTGTTTCTGCCTTTACTGAGGCTAGACCAGGAGGCAAGTGGGCCTGGGAGGCAGCATGGCAGAGCAGAAAGAACTCTGGAAATCTTTCCAGACTCAGCTCAGTCACGACCTGAATAGGTAACCCTGGGCAAGTCCTCACCTCTATGTAGGCCTCAATTTCCCAATGTGTAAAATGAAGGGACTAGGCTTTCTATGGCCCCTGCCAGATCAGCCACCTCTCTGCTTCCTGGAAGAGTAGCTCTTAAACTGGTCCTTCTCCCTGTCCCTACAGGATGGTGTGGAGCAAGGAACTGGGAATCGCAGCCACCATCCCCTATTGGCTCCTCAAGACCCCTCTGCCCTCAGCTTCCGAAGGAACAGCAGCCCCCAGCCCCAAACCACCGGCCCCTGAAGGCTAGGGCCCGCTTCCACACTACCAGTTCCACATTACCAAATAAAAGGCTTTCACATAAACTGAGCAGAGGTCAGACTGAGTTGTTATTGTCATTGGCTTAAAGAATCGGGATAGAAAAATACAAGGTTTTCTCTCTCCTCTCTTTGGACTCAGACACTGATCCCTGAATGGCTCCTAGGTAGAGCCCTGAAAGGGGGACCAAAGTGGGGAAACTGCACGGGGTTGATATGTTTGGGTAATGCATCTGACCAGTCAGTCCAGGGCAGGGGAGATCTCGAGGCCATAAACGTCTGCAGGTCGGTAGGGGAGCCAGGGACTGAGCAGGGGACATGTGGCCTCCAGAGTGCCTCAGCAGAAGATGGAGACGGCAGGAGCCCCAAACCTGTAGCCCTGCTGTGCAGCAGCCAGGCTTTGGGGGAGAGACGGGGTACACCGATTTTCAGATACAGCCCAGGTCACCGCTGGGCAGTCCGGAGGAGTCTCTCCTCACGCTGCTTCCGCATTCGCTCCTTGAACTCTTCCAGCTCTCGCCGCTAACACAGGTTGGGGTAGAATGTCACAAGAGAATTCAGATTTACAACCCTGGCCCACAATCCCTGGAACCCAGTTCCATGCAATGTGGAATATTTGGGGGGGGGCAGGGGGAAGAGTGAGGCAGATGTGAGAGAAGACTGGAACCCCCAGCCAATCCCTCCAACCTCTGTGGGCTTCACCCCTGAACTAGGTGCTCCTTCCTAGGCTATGGTCTCCTGCACCCAGAACCTGGTTCTCACCTGTGCCTTCCTGAGGATACTCCAGCTTTTGCTGAGCCCACAGTAGGAGTTTGAGCCCAGGAGTTCTTACCTGAAACCAGGCTTTCACCTACCTTGAGTGACAGCAGAGACAGACCCTAGAAATATTTCCCACTGCCATTCCAACCCAACCATTCTTCCCCCCACATATGATGGGGGAAATTCAAGGCCTCACCTGGTCTTCTCGCTCCGGAGGGAAGATTTCCTGCTGCAGAAAGAGAAGAAGTTGCTGGAGAAGAGGGAGAGGACCAGGAACAGACACAGCATCCCCAACCCCTACCCCAGCAGGGCCAGGACAGAAAGGAAGAAGTGTTCCCTTCTAGGCAAAGGAGCCGTCTCAGGACCCCCGACCCTCCCAGGGGGAGCTCTGGGTTATACAGGACATCTTGCCTCCAGTCCTTACTGCTACTTAGATGAACATGGTGCCAGGTGTGACTGGCACTGAATATCAGAGCTAGAAGGAGCCTCAGAAACCATGGAGTCCATCCCTCTCATTGCAGAAAATGGTGAGAGTGGGAAGGTCACGCGGTAAGTCAATAGCAAAGCTAGCAAGAGAAGGCAAGCATCCAGATCCCCACTCTAAGGGTACCTCAATGCCCCACTAGGTACACCCTCCATCTGGGGAGGCAGAGCAGGCCTGGCTTCTGAGGCCACAGAACGTGGGATGGAGGGCATGTTCTCCCCTCAGGGGGTCCCCACTGTGTTGCCAGGAGCACATCAGGCCCCTCCTTCCTGAGCCCCGGGTCTACCTTGCGCCGGATGACATATTCCTCAAAATATTCAGCCTGGTTGGACACCCAGAACATGGCCACCGGGAAGGTGAGGTACAACATCATCTAGAAAAGGACAGAGAATGGAGCATATGTCTCTCCACTGCTTCAAAGTCACCTACAGAAGTCTTTCATTCCAACAAGAATGAAATTTTAAATAATAATAATAATCATCCACAGAAGGAGATTGAGTAGCCCTGGACTTGCCTCTATGGAACACCAACTAGGAGACACTGCCAGCTTAGACATCATTTCTCAAGATTAATGAACAACTGCATATAAAGCAATTCTCATTTTGTAGAATTTCAGATTGAAACATGAATTTTCCTATTTTAGAAAGTAAAGTTTTAAGCTACCCGTTTTCACTTCAGAAATCAGCTTGCTACATTATTTTCCATGTATAACTGAAATTTATCTTTAGCCCTTTAAAACCATGTTAGATTATGTGTGTGAAATTTCTTGTTCTTCCTGATTTTTTTAAAATATAGCTTAAGCCACAAATATATTTTGAGAAATAAAAAGCATACTTTGGAATATACCTATGCTGAGTTCCTTCAAGTATTTACCATGTCTCCCTATAGCCTTTCATGAATCTGCCAGGGCTCTCCCCTCTAGAATTACCAGTGTATAAGCTGTATTCTCTCACACACACACACACACACAGAGCAGACTTTGTCAGGGCAGGGACATTGTTTTCGTCTTTCTATCCCCAGGGCCTCGCTCATAGCCTAGCACACCACAGGCACCTCATATTCCATGAAGTGAACCCCGGTGCAACCCAGCATTGACTCCCACCACGCTCTTGTACGGTCCTCTCCAGTCACCAGTGAACTTTGGATCTGCCAAATCCAGCGGACTCTTTTCAGTCCCTTTCCTCCTTGACTTCTCTAGGTAGTGTTTTTGACCTGTACACCAAGGGTCTTAACCATTTTGTACCATGATCCCTTCTGGCAGTCTGGTGAAACCTATCCAGCCCTTCTCAGAACAATGTATTTAAATCATTGAAGGAAATTAAACCAGTGGGGGAAATAGTGAAAATAGAAATGTTGAGTTTTTTCCCATCCAAATTCTCCAACTCCCTGAAATCTATCCAGGACCCCAGGTTACAGAGATCACAGGGTCCCAGCTTTAGAGCTGGAAGACTTCAAAGGCCATCTAGTCCAATCTCCTTTACTTTACAGATGGGGAAACTGAGGCCCAGTGGGGCTGGGACAACTCTACACCCTCTGGGTTCTCCTGCCTCTTTAACAACTTTTCGCTCTCTCTTTACTTTACAAAACCTCTTAATGTGGCTACTCCCAAGGATCTGTCCTGGGCTTTCTTCTTTTCTCCTTTGGTAATCTCTTCTACCTCCAAGATTTCAACTATTTCCCTATGCAGATGACCCCAAAATCTGCAGCTCTAGCTCTGACCTTCCCTCTGAGCTCCAGACACACCCCTCCAGCTGCCTTAAGGACACTTCCACCTGCTTCAGCAGGCACCCCAAACTCAATATGTCCAAAATTAGCTTACTATCTTCCCTCCCACCCTTTTTCTTGGATGTCATTATTTCTCTGGGGCACTAGTCACTATGGGCTACTTGCTGAGCTTCTCGAGTCCATAACCTGGGGGCTCTCTCTGACCCTTCCTTTCACTTACCTAGAATATACAATCAGATCCCAAGGCCTGTTGATTCCATCTCTGTCATACACTTGGAATCCTCCGCCTCCCTCTTCTGGTCTCACTGACGCTGCCCCAGTCCAGGCCCACCTGGACGACTATGATAACCAAGCAGCCCTTATCACTCTCGTTCTCCCCAGAAAGACCTTTCTAACCACTGCCACAACAATCTTCCTTCATGATAACAAGAGCTCATATTTCTATAGAGTTTTAAAGTCTACCAAGAGCATGGAGGTGGTGCAGTGGATAGAGGACAGGTCTGGAGTCAGGAAGACCTGAGTTCAAATCTGGCCTCAGACACTTACTAGTTGTGTGACCCTGGGAAAGTCACTTCACTCTGCTCGCCTCAGTTTCCTCATCTGTCCAATGAGCTGGAGAAGGAAAGGGCAAAACACTCCAATATCTTTGCCAAGAAAACCCCAAATGGGGTCACAAAGAGTCAGACATGACTGAAACAACTGAACAACAACAAATTAAAGCCTGTCAAGCCCTCATTCACAATAACCCTGTGAGGTAGGTGGTGCAAATTAACTGAATTCTACACAGGAAGAAACTAAGGGCATGTGACTCTCTACCAGCTGGGTCATCACAGGCAAGTCACAAAGCCTGTCAGCACCTCAATTTCCTCATCTGTAAAACAGGCACAATAATAATCACACCACTCACCTCACTGGGCAGGTGTCCCAACAACACTTTGCAAACACTAAAGTGAAATCTGTCAATTATTATTGCGCAAGGATAGAAAGATGGTAAGTGACAGAGCGAGGATCTGAGCTTGGGCATTTTTAACTGTGAGTGGAGTGCCTTTTCCACTACACCACACTTATTCAATCAACAAGTCTGTGCCAGTACTGTGCTAAGTACAGGGAATAAAAAAAAAAAAGTGAAAATCACCCCCACATTCTAATGTCATTTAAAGGGAAAACATGTGCATAAAGAGATATATACCAGAGACACACATAGAGGGTAGATACAAAGTAACCGTAATCTAATATAAATTGCTTTGGGGTTACATTTAACCCAGTTCCTGTTGATTGCAACATGAGGCAGCTAGCTGATGGAGAGAATACAATGCCAGGCCTGCAGTCAGGAAGACCTGAGTTCAAATCTAGCCTCAAACACTTCTTAGCTGTGTGACCCTGGGCAAGTCAGGTAATCTCTTTCAGCCTCAGTTTCCTCACTTATAAAATGGGGATAACAACAGCACCTACCTGTGAGGATTGTTGTGAGGATACAATAATAATTGAAAAGTACTTAGCACAGTGCCTTGCACATAGTAGGCCCTATATTACTGTGAGCTATGATTATTATTATTGTTATTGTTCCTTTCTCTCTGCTCACACTTCCACCACCCTAGCAAGTCCTTCAATCACCTTCTATTGAACTATTGCAATAGGCTCCTAATTGGCCACCTTGCCTCCAATCTCCTCCCCTACAATCCATCCTCTCCAGTTACCAGCTTCATATTCCTAAAGCATAGGACACTGACCCAGAGAAGGTAAGTGATTTGCCCAAAGCCATACAGCTAGTAACTGAGGCTAGATTTGAACCCAGGTCTGCCTACCTCTGAATCTTGATCTTTATCCACTACCCCATATTGTTTCAGAATCAATACGGATCCACTGAAACTGCCCAAGCTGAAGAATCGAGGGTAGTTCCTATTGCTTCTGGGATAAAATACTAACTCTTCTGTTTGGCATTTAAAGCCCTGTCCCATCTGGCTCTAATCTCTCCCTTCAAATGTCCATGTTACAATATTTTACATTATTCCCCCTCACCCACTTAATCCTCGGGCCATACTGGCCTACTTGATGCTCTGCAGGAAGGAAATCCTGCCTCCTCCTTCCATATGGTCCACATCTGGCAGGCTCTGCCTTGTCTCCACTGCACCTTGACACCTCTATCTTCCTTCAGTGCTTGGTTCAAGCACCACCACCTCCAGGAGAACTTTCCTGCTGCCTCCAGCTGTTAACGCTGCCCATTATTACTATGTATGCATTTTGTATTTCCTTACCTACCCCACCTCCCCCAACTGTAAGATCCTTGAAGGCAAGCACTGGATTGTTCTTGTCTTTGTACCTCAGCACGTAGCACGTGGCCACGTACTCAGGAGGTACTTAGTAAACGCCTGTAGAATTGAATTGAATTTCTGACTCCCTTCTTTCCCTGCCTCTAAGCTATCCTTCACAACACTTTCAGAATAATCTTCATAGATCTGCTCATGTCACTTGACTCAAAGATCTTCAGTGACTCCTTATAGCCTACCAAGTAAAGTTCAAACTACTTTGCTTGACAAGCTTGACCCTCTCCAATCTTGGGTCTTTCTGCCCGTCCAAACTTATCTCATTTACTCTCTTCCAGACAAACTGGACTATTCAAAATCAAGAATCTTGGAGTTGGCAAGGATCTCAGAACAAATCCAGCTCAGCTCATACCTTAACAGGATTCTCCTCTATAACATCCCCCAATAAGTTCAAAAAGACACTTTTCATCAAGGAAGAGAACAAAACCTGTAAATTATAAACTACTAAGCTTGACTTCAATTCTTGGGGAAATTGTAAAATGCAACAGGTAAGGGACAGGCAGGAACCATCTAGAAAAGGAAGCAAGAATTAAAAAGAGCCAGTTTAGTTTCACCAAGGACAGGTCATGCCAGACTAACTTTATTTTCTTTTCTGAAAGGGTTATTAATAGCTTAAATTGTAGGTACAGTTTACTTGGATCTTACCAAAGTATCTGATAAAGTATCTTATTCTATTCTTGTGGAAAACATGGGAAGTCACGGACTAGACTACAATTTCTTGTTGTTCAGCAATATCCAACTCCTTGTGACCCCATTTGGGGTTTTCTTGGCAAAGATACTGGAGTGGTTTGCCATCTCCTTCTCCCGCTCATCTGACAGACGATGAAACTGAGGTAACCAGGGTGTAGTGACTTGTTCAGGGTCACACAGCTAATATTTGTCTGAGGCCAGATTTGAATTCAGGAAGAGGCATTTTCCTGACTCTAGGCCCAGCACTCTATCCACTGTGCCATCTAGCTACTCTATCACACAATTAGATAGATTTAAAACTAGCTTAAAGACCAGACTCAGAGTAGTTATTAGGGGTTCAATGTCAATAAACAGAAGGTCTCCAGTGAAGTGGCCTGAGTGGTCCAAGGATCTATGTTCCACTCTGGGCTACTTAGCAGTTTGTGGTTTTTTTTTTTTTTTTAAAGTGAGGCAATTAGGGTTAAGTGACTTGCCTAGAGTCACACAGCTAGAAAGTATCATGTATCTGAGGCTGCATTTGAACTCAGGTCCTCCTGACTCCAGGGCCAGTGCTCTATCAACTGTGCCACCCAGCTGCCCCTATTTAGCAGTTTTAACCAAATGCTTGGATACAGGAATTGATAGCATGGCTCATCAAGTCTGTAGATAACACAGAACTGGGACCAAGATAATAGTTAACATACTATATGACAGAGTCAGGATTCAAAAAGATCTTGACGTGCAAGAATGCGGAGCTAAGCCTAATAAGATGAAAATCCATATGGACAAATGTAAAGTCTTAGATTTGGGTTAAAAAAAATTCAACTTCACAAGCACAGGATGAGGGAGTTATGGTTCAATGGAAGTTTGAGAAAAAACTATTCAGATGTTCTTAGTAAACTCAATATGTCAGGGGTGGGATGTGGCCATCAAAAAAACTAATGCCATCCTGGGAAGATGCTAAGAGAGTTAAGAGATATAAGGTGAGAGACAGTGTGAACAGACAGTTAGCTTTGGAGCTGGATTTAAGTTCAGCCTTTAACACATGCTGGCTGAGTGGCTCTGGGCAAATCCCTTAATCTGTCCATGCAAGGCCACTCTCTGCGATTACACATCAAAGAGAAGGTGCTGACCAGTATTGATAGGAGCCCCTCCTGGGGGCTCCCTATACTTAGGGAATCACAGATCTAGTACAATCTCTATCCTATAGTTTCCAAAATAAGGAGATGATAGTACCACTTCTCCTAGTGCAGTCTTTAGAGTGCATGGACTAAGGGCACCAATCCTACCTCAGACACTTACTATGACCCTGAGCAAGTCGATTAACCTCCCTAAGTCTTAGTTTCCTCAACTGTAAAAAGAGGGTAATTACAGCACCTTCATCCCAGGATTGTTGCCAGGATTAAATGAGATACTATTTGTAAAGTACTTAGCAAGTATCAGGAGCTTAATAGACGCTTACTCCCTTCCTAACAAGGATAAAATAAGATACTTGTAACATATTTGCAAAACCTTAGAGCACTACACAAATACATCATCATCATCATCACGGATCAGATCTCATTTGGAGTCATCTGTTCAGTTTTAGGTATCATAGTTTAAGATCATGGAGTGACAAGAGTACGGTGACCCCCCAAGGTGATGGCTTCTGAGTTCCTATTACTTGAAGATTGGTTGAAGGAACTGGAGGTGTGTGTTTAACCCAGAGAAGAGAAGGCTGGGGGAGACTGGGAAGGGGAGGGGAGAAGGCTGCTGGGTTCAAATGTTTGAGGTTTCATTTTTTTTTTTTTTGCTTTTTTTTGATGAGGCAATCAGGGTTAAGTAACTTGCCCAAGGTCACACAGCTAGTAAGTGTCATGTGTCCCAGGCCTCATTTGAACTCAGGTCCTCCAGACTTCAAGGCTAGAGCTCTATCCACTGAGCCACCTAGCTGCCCCTGGGTTCAAATGTTTGAAGGGTTGTCACATGGAAGGCCCCAGAGGCAAATTAAAGAGCCTCGGAAGGACTCTGAAGAGGCATCTTTAGGCTCCACTTTAGGTAACGTTGCCTAACCAGGAGATGGGGAGGGGGCAGTCAGGAAATGGGGCTGGGGCGTGGGGAGGGAGGGTGTTAATAGGGGATTCTTGTTCAGCTTCTAGATTCCATCCCCAAAGGCCCCTACCTACCCCAGACACAGGCCCCGAGAAGCACTGTCCCACATGCCCCCGGCCCCCAGCACTGACCCGAAAAACCTCCAGTTTCACCCCCATCCTGTTAGGTCCGACGGCTGCTTCCGCCAGTCTCTGAAGCCACATCCGCCCAAAATAGACGCCGCAGCAAGGCGTACGTTCATTGGCTAGAACCCGAGCTTGGACACTGGAGCCTATTGGCCGGAGAGGCTCAAAGCGGAAGCGAGCCTTGGCGAGCGTGTCACGCCTCTTCCCCTAGTCCTAAACAAGCGGAAGTTGTTCTGAGGGAGGGCACGGAAGTGAGCTGCATCTGGCCAATGAGGAACGGCGCGAGGACGGATGGAGGCGGGATCACAGTGTAAGGGCTGGTGAGTGCAACTGAGGAAGACGCGGGGATGCCCGAGATCGGGGATGCAGCCCCAACCGAGGCAAAGCTGAAGCCTCGGCCTGAGAGGACCGACCTCTTCTTCGTGAGTACGAGCGGGAGGAGTGCCCAGACGCGGTGGGCTCCACGGGGCGGCGGGCGGGGTCCAAAACCTAGGATGGGGAGACGCCAGACCTACGGAGGCAAGGAATGGGAGAGTGCGCAGGCGCAGGCAAGAGTCTCCGCTAACCTGGGGGTGGGCGAGGCGGAGGCTGCGCCCCCTGGGATCAGCCTGGATGCTGTTCTCCTTGTGCTATTCGTGAGAGACAAAGTGGGGAGCAAAGGGATTGGTTCAGTCTCAAGGTGAGCCCTAGGGAGCCATTGCAGGTTCTTGAGCAGAGCAGAGGAAAGGATCAGGACCTCAAAGAGCTCCCCATCTCCAGGATGCTCTTTATTTCTTACACAGATGCTGAGATTTGCTCAGAAATCTTCAGTCTGTGGCCTCCCCAGTAAAGCTCAGACTCCTTTGCTCGGCATTCCAGGCTTGCCACAGTCTAGCCCCTTTCCAAACCTATTATTCCCCTCTTGAAGCATAGAGTTGCCAAACGGGACCATGGTCTTTGCCTTAAGTATGACCCGTGTTCTTCTTGCCTGTGTGCTCCTCCTTCCCAGTGCCTGGGGTACTCTATGTCCCCTTCACCCGGTGAATTTCTGACTTCCCTTTAAAGGCCAATCCATCTATCCTTCAGGCAGCTTTCCTGAATCTCCTCTCCCTGAGCCAATAACACCCTTTCAGATTTCACATGGCCTTGAATCCCCACTGCTGCACTTACGCAGTAATATTATCTATTGCAGTTTTGGGGTTGATGTCTTTCTCTTAAACTGTAAACTAAACAAGGGTTGAGACAGAGTCATATCATGGTAACTATGTGAAAAACTTGTAAAGAAAGATTCAGGTTTTTTTCCCCTGCCTGGACCCAGGAGGTAGAATGAAGAGCAGTGGATGGAAATTTAAAAGAAGTCAGTTTGATGTTAGGAAAAACATATTTACAGTTAGAGCTGTCCCAAGAGCTTCAAAGTTCCCCATCATTGGACATCTTCAAGCTAAGGCAACATGATCACTTTTGGGAATAGAGTTCTGAGGATGGAATCAGAAAGACCTGAGGTTCAAATCTAGCCTCAGGCACTTCCTAGTTGTGTGACTGTGGGCAAGTCACTGAAATGCTATTTGCCTCAGTTTCCTCATCTGTAAAATGGGAGTAATAATAGCACCTACTTCCCAATTGTTGTGAGGATCAAAAGAGATAATAAAGTGCTTAGTGCAATGCCTGGCACGTAGTAAGTGCTGTATGAATGTTACCTGTTATTATTAATCGTTATTATTAAAGCACTTAGCACAGTGCCTGGTGCATAGTAAGTGCTGTATGAATGTTACCTATCATTATTATTATTGTAGCGCTTAACATAGTCCCTGGCACATAGCAAATGCTCTATAAATGTTAGCTATTATTATAAGTATGAGGACTTGGATGCCCTTTGAGGTCCCTTCAGCTCTAAGATTCTGTGATTACTTAAACTTTGTTTCACTGCCCTATGAAGTGCTGTGCTGTAGTTAGTAGGTATTTAATAAGTATGGGGTGAATTGGATTGGATCAGAGCCGGTTCTGGGATGTAAGCCCTTGACAGTCTGTTGGAATGGTGGGAGGTGGAGAGATGGGAGCCAAGGAGAAGGCTGTTGCTATGACTAGTGAAGGAAGTGAGAAAAGAGAAGATGTTGGGGGTGTTTCTAAGGGACACGGAACCAGATGCAGAGACTTGGTAATATGAGGAAATGAGGTGTTGCAGGATTTAGAATTGGAAGATTGCTTTATTATACAGACCCTAGAACCAGTCAGGGACCATACAAGAGCATCTGTCCAGTCACAGACACAAACAGATTATGTCAGAGTTGGAAGGGACTTCAGTGGCTTCCTAATCCAACCTGTACCCAAATAAGAATTCCTTCTCCATCAAGCTTAGTAGGTGATCACCTAGCCATTGCACGAAGGCGTCAAATAAAGGAGAACCCGCTACCTCCAGGGGTAGCTCGTTCTGCTTTGAGATAGGCCCAGTTATTAGAAAGTTTTTTCCTGCCATCAGACCTAAATATGTTACCTTTGCTAGTGATCTGCTTGCTCGGAGAGGAAACTGGCATTTAGTGAGTAAACCAATCAGGGGCTTGGAAACAGAAAGATACGGGTCTGATCAGGCCCAGAGACTTGAAGTGGTTTGCCTGGGGTCACATAGGAGGCGTAGATGGTGGAATTTTACCCTAGGTCTCCTGAATCTTTCCACTGTGGCAAGGTTGTCTCCGTGAGAGGGAGACCAGCCTTCTGGGGGTGGGAATTGGGGGGGGGGGACAATTTTGGAATTCAGTGATGGGATTGGGAAGGAGGAGGCCTGACTTGCTTGCAACACTCTGGCCCCTTGTCTCCCTAGGAGGAGGAGGATTTACAGTATGAGGAGGAAATCCTTCGCAACCCTTTCTCTGTCAAGTGTTGGTTTCGGTACATCGAGTTCAAGCAGAGTGCATCGCAAGCTGTGCTCAATCTGCTCTATGAGCGAGCCCTCAAGGAGCTGCCCGGGAGGTGAGGGGCCCTTCCGCTTCCCAGTCTCCCCTACCTCTCCTTCCCCTATGGGGCGCCTCAGTATGGGAAAGTGGAGCTTGGGCAGGGGAAAGGGAAAGGCCGTGATGGTGTTCACAAGCATGTTCCCTCTCCTGTCGCCCAGTTACAAGCTGTGGTACCACTACCTGAAAGCCCGCCGGGCTCAGGTGAAGCGTCGCTGTGTGACTGACCCTGCCTACGAGGATGTCAACAACTGCCATGAGCGGGCCTTGGTCTTCATGCACAAGGTGAGCCCTTGGTGATCAGGGACCAGGGGGCAGAAGGAATCTGAGGCGTCCAGGGCCGGGGAGGTGGGAGCACAAGGGGACCTCTGCCTTCTCCCTGTTCTAGATGCCGCGTCTGTGGTTGGATTACTGCCAGTTCCTGATGGAGCAGGGCCGCATCACTCGGACCCGGCGCACCTTCGACCGTGCCCTGCGGGCTCTGCCCATCACTCAGCACTCACGCATCTGGCCCCTCTATCTTCGCTTTGTACGTTCCCACCCTCTGCCTGAGACTGCAGTGCGTGTATACCGCCGCTTCCTCAAGGTGAGCCGTGTGGGTGGATCCAGGGGAGTGGGCAGCGGATCATGCAGCTGTAAGGTTTCCTGCCCCTTGCCTCCCGACCCCCAAAACCAAGCTCCATGGGATGAGATGGGCACTGGAGAGGGGAAGGGCAAGGGCCTCTTGAGGCTGGGGTGGGGGAACACTGACCGCTTTCTTCGTTGGGGGTTCCCCAGCTGAGCCCCGAGAGTGCAGAGGAATACATTGAGTACCTGCGCTCCATCGACCGGCTGGATGAGGCAGCTCAGCGCCTGGCAACTGTGGTCAATGATGAAAGATTTGTCTCCAAGGAAGGAAAGTCCAACTACCAGGTCAGGCTCCAGCCCTTCCCGGCCCCCGGCCCCTTCAGAGCTCCCAGGAGGCCCCAACAACCCAAACTTGCCCTCCCCACACAAATGCTCACACAGCCACACAGCCACACATGATCTGGGATTGCCAAGATACAGAGCTGGTCATCTGGTTCAACCCCTCACTTTGCAGATGGGGAAACTAAGGCCCAGAGAAGAGAAGAGGCTGTCTGTGATCACCTAGGTAATAAGTAGCAGAGCCAGGCTTGGAATCCAGGTCCTCCTGTGACTCCAGTTCTGGTGATCTTTTCGTTCCCCCCTGCCACCTGCTTGGTGCTGCACGGTCACATATGCCCACATCACCTCAGTTACAGAACCAGACTCACACACACACAGACAGACCCCTCCCAAGTTCCAGACACGGGCCGAGGGAGCCATGGAGCTGAGCCCCTCCCCTTCTTTTTCTCCAGCTGTGGCATGAACTGTGTGACCTGATCTCCCAAAACCCTGACAAAGTGCAGTCCTTAAACGTGGGTGCCATCATCCGAGGGGGCCTCACCCGCTTCACTGACCAACTCGGCAAGCTCTGGTGCTCATTGGCCGACTACTATATCCGAAGTGGACATTTTGAGAAGGTACCAGGACCAGGCCTGGGCTAGGACCCAGAAGGGAACATACATGGGCCTTCCTAGACCAAGAGTTCGTGGTTTCTGCCAAAATCATCTTCCTAAAGCAGAATTCTGACCGTGTCACTTCTACTCCGTAACCTTCAATAACAATAATAATAATAATAATAATAGCTAACATTACTTAAGTACTTACTATGTGCCAGGCACTGTGTTAAGCACTTAATATTATCTCATTGATCCTTACATCAACCCTGGCAGGTGGATGCTAGTATTATCCCCATTTTATAGATGATGAAACTGAGGCAAACAGGTTAAATGACTTGCCCAGGATTACTCAACTAGGAAGTGTCTGAGATCACGTTTTAAGTCAGGTGGTCCTGGCTCCAGGCCCATCATTCTGTGCCCTACAGCGCCCCCTGCTGTCTTCAAAATAAACCATGAGCTCTAGCTTGGCGTTTAAAGCCTTCCTAGTCCATCCAGGTTTATTTCCCACGGCTCCCCATCCTTCTTTCTTTGTTCAGTCAGACTGGCCAACAGGCTGTTGCCCACCCTTGACATCCCATTTCCTGTTTCTCGCCTCGCCTAAAGCTCTGTGTACCCTGTGCCCGAGGTATCCCCTTTCCTGCCTTCTCCCTCTCAGGAGGGCTCATGAACCAGCTTTCAGGGGAAGGCCTTCCTGGCCCCTTTTGTTGGTGTTCTCTCCCTCCTACACCTCCAGTGGTCACATAGGTTCTTGGCTATTTCTATGTTGGATCTCCCTCCTCCAGTGAAATGTTAGCTCTTTGAGAGCAGGAACCAGTTTTCACTTTGCCTTTAAATCTTTTGTGCTTTGTATACAGTAGGTACTTAATAAATGCTGATTGAATAGCATTTTGTGAATTAAATTATCAAGCATTTATTTAATTTTCGAGTTTTATGTAGTATTTCTTCATAAAAGCTCTAGGAGGTATATAGGGCAAATATCATCTGTCTTGTATAGATGTGGAAGGTGATTTCCTCAGGATCACAAAATGTATCATCGTTAGAACCAAGGCTCTTCACTGGCCATTCCCTGTCCTGACGCTGGGCACTGCCCAAGATGGACACAGAACGTCAAGGGAGAGGCCAGGTGTGGGGGCTGTGTTCCTGATGGCTCTCTGTGTCTCAGGCCCGCGACGTGTATGAGGAAGCGATCCAGACGGTCATGACTGTACGAGACTTCACACAGGTCTTTGACAGCTACGCCCAGTTTGAGGAGAGCATGATTGCGGCCAAGATGGAGACAACCTCAGAGCTAGGGCGGGAGGAAGAAGGTGAGGGGCTGGGGGGTGGGGCAGGGATGTAACTGCAGGGGCTGAGCCGTGCAGATGGTGGGGATGGGGCGGGGGAGTGCATCTTGAGAGGGGCCAGGCCATGCAGTCTGGAGTGGGGGCACCTCAGAAGGGCTTTTCATTTTCCTGCTGCTTCTACCTCAGATGACGTGGACCTGGAGCTGCGTTTGGCTCGCTTTGAGCAGCTCATCAGCCGTCGGCCCCTCCTCCTCAACAGCGTCCTGCTGCGCCAGAACCCCCACCATGTGCACGAGTGGCACAAACGAGTGACCTTGCATCAGGGCCGGCCTAGAGAGGTGGGGAGCAAACCCTTCTGCCTGCCCACCCCCCAAGTCTTCCAACCCAGAGCCTCTCCCTTTGCTTTTCCTCTGCCTGTCCCCTCCCCTCACACATACCCCTGACCCCTGAAGTGTTCTTCCAAACCCAGAGCCTCCCCTTCTTCTCTTCCTCCCCTGCCAGTCCCTCCCCAGCACCCCCAACCTCCTCATTCCACACAAGCCTGCCTCCCCAGGCATGCAGCCAAGGCCTCCTTTCTGCCTCCTCCAGGTCATCAACACATACACAGAGGCCGTGCAGACCGTGGATCCCTTCAAGGCCACAGGCAAACCCCACACACTGTGGGTCGCCTTTGCCAAGTTCTACGAGGATAATGGGCAGCTGGACGATGTGAGCGGTGGGAGGAGGAGGGGCAAGGCTGGGGAGGCTGTGGGGGCAGGCCTGGGTCCCGTCCCAAGCCTCTGGGTGACTCTTCTTGGCTTCCTAGGCCCGCACCATCCTGGAGAAGGCGACCAAAGTAAACTTCAAGCAGGTGGAGGATTTGGCCAGCGTGTGGTGTGAGTACGGCGAGATGGAGCTGAGGCACGACAACTATGACCAGGCCCTGCGGCTGCTGCGGGTGTGTGGGTGCTTGTGTGAGGGCCCCGGGACGGGGACGGCGGGATCCCTCACGCCGTAGGGGCAGCCGGAGCGGTGACGGGCTGGTCGTGACACCAAGCATGTCCTTGTCCCCTGCAGAAGGCAACTGCCCTGCCCGCCCGCCGGGCCGAGTACTTTGATGGGTCTGAGCCAGTGCAGAATCGGGTGTACAAGTCTTTGAAAGTGTGGTCTATGCTGGCTGACCTTGAGGAAAGTCTGGGCACCTTCCAGGTGGGTGCTCCCCTGCCCCCAGCCTTCTCCTCAGCCAGGCCCCGGTCTCACCCACGCCTCGGCCTCAGAAAACCCCTTGACACAGGCTCCGAATTCAGTGCATCTCTCTTCAGCAAACAGGAATGGCCTCCCTCCCCCAGACCCAGTTCCCAAACCTTCCCTGAGCCCCAGTTTGTAGTAACTTTTAGACATCACACCACACCCGTTTACACCTTTCAGGTGTACTTGTCCCCCAAAAAGGCAGAACTAGGAATAGTGAGTGAGGTGCAGAGCTACAGGTTTGGGGTCCAGGTGAGAACAGCTGCCCCAAAGCAGCAATTCTCCTTCACCAGTGGAACCTGGAGGAGCATGTGTCGGGGATGTAAGGTCATGGGTTAAGAGGGTGGACTAGAGACCTCAGAGTAAACATTTCCAGCCCCAGCATCCTGGAAGCTATGTAGTGTTCTGGTCATTTTTGTTAGCGCCTTAGCCCCGCCCCGCCTAGACTGTACCCTGCAAGGGCCGGATGGTGCCATCTGCAGCCTGGTCTCTCTCCCAGTTCAAACACAGGGCTGTCACCCAATGGACTCTTAATGATTGTTAGATCATTGATCAAGCACCTACTGTATGCTGGTCCCCAGAGGAGGTGAAATAATTCCCAGCTAGTCCCTGCCCTTAGAGAGATGAGGCACACGCACAGCGTGCTGTGTCCCCAAATAGGAAGAGCAGAGGTACAGAGGAGAGGTCCAGACAGTGAGTTGAGGCCAAGACGGTGAGATGGTGCAGCTGCCGCCCCCCCCCCCCCAATCCCACACACCCCAATGAGCTTTAACCACAATCATGTCCCTGTCTGCAGTCCACCAAGGCTGTGTACGAGCGGATCCTGGACCTACGCATCGCCACCCCCCAGATTGTCATCAATTATGCCATGTTCCTGGAGGAGCACAGCTACTTTGAGGAGAGCTTCAAGGTGGGCCCCTCAGAAAGTTCATGGGGTGGGGCTGGATAGCTTCCATTTCTAGACCAGTTTGCATGCGGCTTCCCTCCCAGGAGAGAGGCCCAGGGGGATGGGGAGGAACCTCCTGGTCATGCCACAGTCACTTCAGTCCAAGAAGCAACGTGTTTAGTGCCTGCGATGGACCAGGTATGGCACTAGGCTCTACAGCCACACCAATGAAGGAGGTGGAGGGAAGAGTTTGGGCTATGTCACCAGCCTGGAGAATCTCTCAGAGGATGTGACAGCGATCTGCATGTGAGGCCTGCCACGTGGAGAACAGATTAGACGTGTTCTCTCTGGCCCCAGAGGCAGAATGAGGAGCGGTGGGGGAGGTAGAGAGAGGCAGATGTAGGCCTGACAGAAGGACAAATTCCTTAGCAACTCGAGCTGTGCAGAACAGGCTTCTCAGCGGTCTTCCTTCCCGGAGGTCTTCAAGGAGAGGCAAGGTATCCTTGAGTCGGGTGAATCAGAGGGGATGTCTTTGTTCAGGTACAGCTTAGGCTATATGGACTCCAAGGTTTCTGAGATTGCGTGAGAGAGGTAGGAGAAGGACTATAGGGCCCCTTTACAGATGAGAACGCTGACGCATAGTGAGCATGGAATTTGGATGCAGGCCCTCAACTAACCCTTAGTGCTTTGGTGACCCAGGCGAGCTTCTCCTCCCTGCCCCTCTCTTTTCAGTGCTGGATAGGCTTGGGCAAGCAAAGAAAACTGGGGATGGACCTGGGCAAGGGCATTCAGTCCATAGGCTTTTGTCATGTGCCAGCGTGTTCTGGAGGCAAGCTCCACATCTCCCCTTCCCTTCTAGGCCTACGAGCGGGGCATCTCACTGTTTAAGTGGCCCAATGTGTCAGACATCTGGAGCACGTACCTGACCAAGTTTATCGCTCGTTATGGAGGCCGCAAGCTGGAGCGGGCCCGGGACCTGTTTGAGCAGGCACTGGATGGCTGCCCCCCCAAATATGCCAAAAGTGAGAGAGGCCCTCAGGACTGGGGGAGGGCTTCCAGGATGCAGATGGGGGGCGGTGTAGGTTTGTGGGAATGGAGGGATTCAGAGCCGGGTCGGTGGGAGTGTTTTCTGAGCAGCTCTCCTCCACCACTCCCAGCTCTCTACCTGTTATATGCCCAACTGGAGGAAGAGTGGGGGCTGGCCCGCCATGCCATGGCTGTGTACGAGCGTGCCACCTGTGCCGTGGAACCCTCCCAGCAACATGAAATGTTCAACATCTACATCAAACGCGCTGCTGAGATCTATGGTGTCACCCACACCCGCAGCATCTACCAGAAAGCCATCGAGGTGCCGGATCGAGCAAGGGCTGGAGGGTGGAGTTGGGGGTCAGGCAGGGGGGACAGGGCACAGATGCAGGAGAGAGCAAAGTCAAGGAGCGGGGGAGCCATCAGAAGAAAACTGAGGCCACACCTCGTCCATTGTCCTTGGTTTCCTTCCCTGGGGCCTCTCCATCTGGTCCCCTCCATCTCCTCTCTGCTTGCTCAGTTTCCCCATCTACAGAATGAGAGGCTTGCACTGCGTCATCTGGAAGCTCTCATCCAGGTCCAAATCCTAGGATTCCATGACGGTGCTTTTCCATCAGCTCAGACTGTGGACTGATCAGTCCTGCCTAGTTGTTTGAGCCCACCCCTTCCTTTCTGCCCAGCCCCGTACCAAACATTGACGTGCTTCCTATTGCTCAGGCCCCACCCAGTGTAGCCACAGGTTTTAGGGAGGTGGAGGTGGAGTGGTGAAGTTGTTAGAAGCAGTGAAACCCAGGGCTCGAGACTTCCCTTTTACTTCCCAATGGCATGCTAATTGGGCCTTGTCCAGTCTGGGCTCAGGCTGCACAAGGCGTAGCTGGCATCCTCGGCGGGACGAAACAGCTCTTTCTGTCTGCCATTTTGGGAAGAGGTCAAAGGCCTGGGGGGCTCATCGTGGGAGGACATGAGAGTGACCGAGGGATGTAATCTGCCTTGCAAGGGGAGCTTTGGGGCATGGGGTTGGGTTGGAACAAGTGTATTAGTAGCCCCTTCAGACTCCACTCTCTTCTCTGGATTTCAGGTGCTGTCGGATGAGCATGCGCGAGAAATGTGTCTTCGTTTTGCTGATATGGAATGTAAACTGGGGGAGATTGACCGGGCCCGGGCTATCTATAGCTTCTGCTCCCAGATCTGCGATCCTCGGGTAAGTGGCCCAAGGTTCATCTGAGATTGGGGACAGCACAAGCATCCTGGGGTGTAAAGAGATCTCCCTGACCATCTCCCCTTTGCTAACCCCCAGACGACAGGAACATTCTGGCAGACATGGAAGGACTTTGAGATCCGCCATGGGAATGAAGACACCATCCGTGAGATGCTTCGGATCCGGAGAAGCGTTCAGGCCACATACAACACACAAGTCAACTTCATGGCCTCCCAGATGCTGAAGGTGTACAGCAACGCCACCGGCACTGGTGAGTCCAGCCCGCGGATTCCATGGCTGCTGTTCACCGTCGGGTCCACGCTGGTCCTCTCCCCGGGGCCTAACTCACTTCTCTCCCCCTGGCCCTAGTGTCTGACCTCGCCCCTGGACAGAGTGGGATGGACGACATGAAGCTGCTGGAGCATCGCGCAGAACAGCTGGCGGCAGAGGCAGAGCGGGACCAGCCCCCACGCTCACAGGGCAAGATCCTTTTTGTCAGGTGGGCGCCAGGGCACCTGGAGGCTGGGAGGGTGGGCTGGGTTGGGCCAGGGCAGTCTTTATGGCCCTCAGGAATGTCAGGGTGGGGCAGGGACCTGAAGGTCAGCTTCCCATTTCTCCAGGAGTGACGCCTCCCGCGCTGAGCTGGCTGAACTGGCCCAGCAGGCCAACCCCGAGGAGATTGAGATAGGGGAGGAGGAGGAAGAGGAGGAAGAAGAGGGGCTGCAGCCCAATGGTGAGTGCTGGAGGGGAGGAGGCTGGCCAGCACACAGAGCCCTGTCACTGGGAATGACTGAATCTCACCTTCCCCGCTTCCTTCCCCAGAGGTGCCGCTGGAGCAGCAGAGCGTGCCAGCCACGGTCTTTGGGAGCCTGAAAGAAGACTGATCCCAATCACCCACAATAAATTCTTTGTTTGTACTTCTGTCAGCCGCCCTGTGATATGCAAATCCTGGTGAACACACCCAGTTCTTGCTTTCTGGGGAGGGGTCCTTGTGACACAGCCACCTGCCTAGCTGGGGCATGCTGGGAGTTACCACCCCATGTGGCAGTGCCCGCTGGCCCGGGGCCTAGGCCCACCTCCTCCCAGCTGGGATTGGCCTACGTAGCAGAACAGCGGCCAAAGTACACGGCCCAACCCCCCACCTTGTAGAGCCGGTTCCTGGCTCAGAGCCCTGGGGAGCAGGAAGCAGACCAGCCCCCCCTACCCCCCAACACTCCCCCTGGGCCAGTGCCTGAGCACAACATGTACTTGAGCCCTCTGGAGGGTGAACCCAGACCATCTGCCCCACAAAAAAATGGGGCCTCCAAAGGAGGCTAGGGCAGGAGCTTCACCTTCCCATAAACACCCAGGGGTCAGCCCAAGCTGGCTCCACTTCAAGCCAGGTTTCATTTCCTCCCCTGGCCTATTGTAATAATCTTTTAACTGTCCTCCAGAATTGCTCCTTTCCAATCCTTCCTGCATAATAAGCACCCCCAGTTCTGGTCACCTCTCCTAGGTTTTCCATGGCCTACAAGATTAGGTTCTGACCCAGGCTGCATTCAAGGCTCTTCGGACCGTAGCCTACGTCCAGTCATTTTCTCTGTCCTCATTCCTCATGCTAGTTTGTTCCCTGTTTGGGTCAAGATATTTCCTTACTCTGCAGCAACCTTCTCCAGAAAGCATTTCTTGGATAGCCAAACCCTCCTCCTCAGAGGCCTTCACACTCTATCACCTATCAATGGGTAATTGCTATCTCACTGTGCAAATACTTAGCTAGAGGGAAGAGGGGTGGGCAGGAAGTGTCCCAGCTAAGGCCAACTCAAGGACAGAGAGGCAGCTAACACATTAGCTGACAGGACCTAAAAATAACCTAACAGGCTACAATGGATGGGATCTAATTAGATAAAAATTGAGTAAGAACAAAGTCCTCTGGGTTCAAAAAATCAATGGCAAAAACAGGACAGGAGAGATGGGGCTTGATGAGAGTTGGTGTGAAGAAAATCTGGGAGCTTTAGGGCACTGCAAGGTCAATGTGAGTTCGGACCCAGGACAAAAAAAGCCAAGGGAAAGACTGTTAAGAGAGGGTGGTGAGATGACTGGACTGCTACCCTCAAGAACACAACTGTGAACCTCTCTGGGTACCATGTTTTAGGATGGATACTGACAAAGTGCAGAGGATTCAGAGAAACCCTGGAAGGACCTGGGGACCTTTGGCCTGGAAAAGACTGACTTAGGAAGGACCATGACGGCTGTCTTTAAGGATTGGAAGGGCTATCACTTCAAGACACTTGCTCCCTTTGATTGGCCTCAGAAGGAAGAGCTGGGAGAAACAAGGAAAGGAAATTCTGGCTCAATATAGGGAAAAATTTAGGAATAAGCTACTGTGGAAATACTGGAGGTTCCCCATAGTTGGGAGTCTTAGTGTGGAGGACAGAGGGTTTCCTGTTTAGGGACTGATCTGGATGCTCTCTGAGCTTGGGAGCCCTGAGCCTGCACTCCGTCCCTCAGCTTCCAACCACCCCCTTCTAGAGGAAGGGGTTAAGAACATCTCTTTAAATTATTTTATTCAAGGTGAGGAGACAGACAGGGGCAGGGGGTTGTTGAGCTGAGCCCTGAGTCCCTGAAGCTCCCAGCTTCCCCCTCCCCACAGCAGGACACGACACAGAGATGAAGGGAAACCTTCCAGAGTCTTCTAGGGAAGAGACCTAGAGGCATGGGGAGTAAGGAAAGCAACCCCCAAAACCCCCTCCAAAAAAAAGGTCAAATGCAGGTCCAGGCCCCTTTGGAATCCAACCCCGGCTTAGGCCCAAATTTATAAACTGGCTTTCCAAAGGCTTGAAGATTGGGAGCCCCCCAACATTGGGGACCAAAATCTGTCCAGGCAAGAGGTGGCTGGGGTGGGGTGGGGGAGTAGGGAACAGAGACATTGCCTCCAAGAGGCACTGGGATAGAAGAAACATGCAGATGGGGAGGGGACTGAGGAGGGGGCCAGGGCAAGAGCTGAAACCCCCTTCCTGCCCTCAGTCTCCTAACCAGGGAGGGGAGAAGAGCCCAGGTTGGGATAGGGTGGTACAAGCACCCCTTCTCACCCCAGCAGAGGGCCTCCACCATCCCTCTAGAGAGCCGCCCTTGGGGACAGAAGGCCCCTGGCTGGCTCTGGGGCAGAGTTCAGGCCTTAAGAGTGCTAGGCAGGAAATGTCTGGCCTATTTAGGGGTGCTGGGCTTCTTTGGAGTACTGGGCTTCTTGGTCTGCCAGAAGTGGCCCTGGATGGTGATGGCGTCCACGCTCATTGACATGGTCTTGGCAGGAATCTGTGTGAAGCGTTTCCGGTCCGAGTTGTATTTGTAGATCCCCTCTACCATGGACTTGGTGATGGTGCGGGGGCCATAGCCAGCCAAGCGTGACATCTCTTCTGTCTCCCCAGAGAACGTGTACAGTGCCCGAAACTGGCAGCTTGAGTCCCGGAAGAGGATCAGGAAGTGGTTGGCTTTGCTCTTCTCAATTTCCTGGAATCGGGATAAGTTGTTAGGACAAGGCAGGTGGTGGGGGCAGGGGGGGGGGGGGAATCAGGGATATTGGAGCCTGATAAACAAGAGAATTGGAACCTTAGGAAGAGGAATGGGTTGAGGGAGAAGAAGAGTGGTGGCCTTAGAGCAGACTGGATGGAGATTTCTATAGGGATACCATGGGCCCAGCCCTGGCCTCACCTCCAGGATGCGGTTCTTGTGAGATTCATTGACCTTGCCAGCAAGGCAACAGTGGGCCAATGCATTGTGGATGATGTACTTGTTGGACTTGGCACTGGGCTCCTTGTACAGCTTGGGGCCTGGGGCATGAGGGGGAGAAGGAAGTTAGAATCAGGAAAAGAACACGAGCAGCTCAATCTCAGCTTTGTAAAATGCCAGCACAACAGCCCTGTGCGGCAAGTAGTATAACTACCTGACAGTATCCTTACTCTCATTCTACACACAAATAAACTGAGGTCAGATAAGTGTCTGAATCGGGATTCAAACCTAGGTCTCCTGATTCTGGGGGTCCAGTGGTTCTTTCCACTATAGCCTATAGCCAGAGGCTCCTAACCTGCCCCTATGGGCCCCGCATCCTTGCCACCATCCTGTCTCCATTCATTCTCAGTCAAGGCCTTACCTGTGTATTCTGGGACAGAGGCTGGTGATGAGGCAGTACTCCCATTTTCCCAGTCCCGATCTCGGTTACCCAAGAGGCGACTGGGAGACATCAGGCCTGATGGAGAAGGGGCCCTGAAGAAAAAGGAATGTTACTTTAGTGGGAAAAGGAAGTCTTCCAGATGCCTCTTACTCCTAGGGATCCTAGCACGTGGTCTCTTCTCTCATTTCCTTGATTCACAGAATCTCAGATTTAGAAGGAACCCTAGAGATCATCTTGTCCAACTGCCTACTTGATGGATAAACTCTATTGCATTCTCAACCAGTGTTCATTCAGCCTCTGCTTAAAGACCTCTTGTAATGGAAGTCCTTTGAATAGTTAGGAAGTTCTTACTTAGATTAAGCCTAAATCTGACTCTCAGCAACTTCCACCCTTTGCTTGTACTTCTACCCTCTGATGTCCCTACAATTATTCGAGGACCAAAATCCTTTCCCCACCAAGTTTTCTTTTCTGTAGGCTAAACACCTCTACCTTCTTCAAATAATCCTTGAAAAGTATAGTCATCAATTCAACCAAACAAACATTCATTAATTGCCTACTTCGTGCCAGACAGTAGGGATGCCAAGAGTATGTGCACATCTCCCTATTTCTTGTAAGTCCTCCAAGTTGACATCAACACATTAATCACTATCCTTTGGACCTGGAAATTCAACACTTGTGAATAATGTTAACTGTACTATTATCCAGTCCAGTGTTTCCATTTTGTCCTCAAGAATGGCATGAGATATTTTTGTCAAATATTTTGCTGAAATATGAGTACAGTATAGCACTCACATTTTCTGATCTATCAGTCTTGTCAAAGAAAATGGGGAAGGGGGGTCGTCTAGCATGATTTGTTCTTGATGAGCCCATGCTGATTCCTAGTGATCACTGCTTCTGTTTCTAAATGCTCATAAACCATCCCTTTAATAACCCATTCTAGAATTTTGCAAGTTTGCCCCAGTTGTAGTGGTACACAGGTCTGGTGTGAGAAAAACAAATCAGCATGAGCTTAGCTTGCCTGAGATTGAACTCTTTTGTCCATAAGGATGGTATCCGTCAGGAAGCTCTGCGCTAACCCAACCAGTGAACAGACCACCTATCCACTGAGATACACAGTCAAACTTGAAGCATATACATTGACAACCAGACACAATGACACACAGACTCAGATTGGGTAAGTGGGGGGGAGGGGCATAAATTTACCTGGATGTAGGCCTTTTTACCCCAAGGTTGTTGGAAGAATCATTGGCCACAGTGGAAAGGGACAGGGTGGACTGGGAGTAAACTTTGCTAAGCCGGGACCCTGGTAGGGAGAAATAGGAAATATAATCCTCAATCCTATTTTCTTCCCTTGGCAACTCCCCCCTCAACCATCACCAGCTCTACCCCATGCTCCCCCTTACCCAAGAGACCTCGGGGACTGCGGCCTAGAGCTGAGTCATCACAGCAGCCAGATCGAGGTCGAGGGGGCCGACGGGCACCCCCTCTTCCAGGCCCGCCCCCTGCCCCTCGAGGTCGTAGTACTTTGTCCAGGTCATCCATCAACTTTAGCTGTGCCCGCCTCTCATATTCTTGTCGGGTAAAGTCCCCTCTCCGGGCTGGGCCCTCCTCTTCCAGGCTGGCCCCAGCTCCAACTCGGGCCCTCTCCTCCTGGGCCAACCTGAGGGAGAACATAAAGAGGTCCAGAGCAGGAAATGAGAGGTGAGCATAAAGAATGGACCTATCTTTGGTGAGCTTTGGAAATGGCCAGTGTGTATGTCAAACTAAATGATTCT